AGCAGTTTCACTTTTAATTTAGAATTGCTCTTGAGTCATAATGACATCTAGGCTTTGTTTTTCAACTATCCATTATTTTAATAATGCATTTCAACAGCAGATCTGTGAATTTATGGAGAGGTATTATATTATTGAAAAGAGTAACTTTGTATGTGTGTCTAATAATAAATCTAGCAATTGCTTTAATAAATCCAGTGTACAGTGACTGATAATCTTCATGAAATATATAATATCAGTAACACTAAGTCTCAGCAGTCCTTTAAGTAAAAAATTCATTGAAGCAAAAAGGCTGTTTTGCAAATAAGATCACTTTCTAACTGAATTTATAGTCGGCAACTATCTTCAGGGAGAAAAAACAGATTTTGTTTCTGTATAGATTAGATAAGTATGCATATTTTTAAATTTTTTTGTGAATGTAAAAGTGACATTTTTGGGTCTCATAACAATTCAGTGGAGTTGACATCTTTACTTTTTTCACTTTGCTTTCTTGGATTTTAAGATTTTCAGTTTTACAAGTTTATCTGCCAATTTTTTTTCTCTCACTCTACAGCACTTAAGAAATAAAATGTGAGGGAAGGTAGTCCAGACATTTTGTCTTTTTCTGATGCAGGAAAATGAGAATGGCTTTTAATTGCCTTTATTTTTGCTGTCATTTACAGGCAATAAATATTAATTTTATTTAAAAAAAAAACAAATCTTAGGTTAAAGAGTTTTAAAAGTTACAGCAATGTATCAGAATGTAGAGAGAATAAGAAATATGTCATAATAACTAATGATGAGAAATACCAAGGAAATTTAAAATAATATGAGTGTTTTGAGGTTGGAGTTTAGAGATTAGGCTATGATAATTAATATAAAGTCCTATAAATCCCAAAAAGTACAATATTGAAAGATAATCAAGTAGTGTGTTCTTGTAGACATGCAAAAACAACACAACGATTACATAAAACAAATCACATTTTTATTCAACAAATCTATCTAGATGACACATCCAGACAAAAAGATCTTTTACGAAGAGAAGGTAATACAACCCCATACAACCCAGATATCATTTGGTGAAGCTACAAATGAACTAAAGACAATGATGACCAAACATTTAAAATACAACATCTCTCAACTAATGTTAAATGGAAAGTTATTTAACAAATAATTAGGAAGGGAAAAGAATTAATTCAAGCATAATGTTCAAAAGCAATTGATAAGACATGCAAGGTTTTCATAAGGAAAGAATTCCAGGAAATCTTAAGCTTACTGGAAATAGGTTAAACAGAAGATAGGGAAAAGAAATTCCTTTCTTTTTGTACAAACTAGCTCCTTAAGATGATAGAAGAGTTAAATCCAGCACAAAATCTTTCTTTGGTCAAGGAAATAACTCCCTGAAAGGAGTAACCCCTTGCTGCACAC